CTGGCGGGAACCTAGGAACTTTGTGGGAACCTTGTGGGAACCTTGTGTGAACCTTGGGAACCTTGCGGGAACCTTGCAGGAATGTTGGGAACGTTGTGGGAGCCTTGTGGGAACCTGGCGGGAACCTAGGAACCTTGTGGGAGCCTTGTGGGAACCTTGCGGGAACCTTGCAGGAAGCTTGGGAACGTTGTGGGAACCTGGCGGGAACCTTGCAGGAACCTAACCTTGTGGGGACCTAAAGCTGTGGGAACCTTGGAGCAAAGTTGTGGGAACGTTGTGGAACAAAGTTGCGGGAACCTTGTGGGAACCTTGTGCTTGGGAACCTTGGATAAACCGAACCTTCTTGTGGGAACCTTGGGGGAAGCTTGGAACCTTCTTGCGGGAACCTTGCAGGAACCTTGGGAACCTTCTGGGAACCTGGCGGGAACCTTGTGGGCACCTTGTGGGAACCTGGCGGGAACCTTGGAACCTTGTTGGGAACCTTGTGGGAACCTGGCGGGAACCTAGGAACCTTGTGGGAGCCTTGTGCTTGGGAACCTTGGGGGAACCTTGTGGGGCAAAGTTGTGGGGACCTTGTGGGAACCTTTGGGCAACCTTGGAGCAAAGCTGTGCAGGAACCTTGGAAACCTTCTGGGAACCTGGCAAGAACCTTGTGGCAACCTTGTGCTTGGGAACCTTGGGGGAACCTTGTGGGAACCTTGGAGCAAAGTTGTGGGAACCTTGGAGCAAAGTTGTGGGAACGTTGTGGAACAAAGCTGTGGGAACCTTGTGCTTGGGAACCTTGGGGGAACCTTGGAACCTTCTTGTGGGAACCTTGTGGGAACCTTGGGAACCCTCTGGGAACCTGGCGGGAACCTTGTGGGAACCTGGGAACCTTGTCGGGAAGCTGGGAACCTTGTCTTTCGAAGCTGCTCCGGCCTGCTCCAAAGCCTTTACCATGGCTGAAGACCCCAAAGCATTCTGCTGTTGGGGAAAAAAGTACTTGGAATATATGGGTCCAAACATGGTACTTAGAATTTTTTGTGGTTTCTACTTTTTGGTGGACAGCTGCGGTCGGTTTTAGACTCTATGTGTTTTTTATTTGTTTAAGTTCCTTTACAAAGTTCCTGATGAAAAGGACAAGAATTGGACAAGAAAAGATAAGACAATGAAAACAATTTAACAAGAAAAGGAACGGAAAATCACAAGAAAAGGAAAACAAAAGGAACATAAAAGGAACAGACATGGACAAAAAAGGAAAACAATTGATAATCGAGGGGAACCATATTCTATGTTTCAATAATTTGGTTGACTTTAAAACTCGAAATCCACGTTTTCTTATTCTATGTACCCGTTTGGATTTTCAAAAAGTTCGTGGACAATAACGGCCGGAACCTTCAATTCCATATTCTATGTACTCCAGGATGGTTATATACATATATAATCACCCAACAGATAGAACCCATGCAGTCCCGTGGCGGCTCCTAAAATCAGGAGCTCAGGTAGATGTTTTTCATGTAGGTGGGTAGTCGTTGTCCTCAGCTCCTCACATCCACCTCAGGAGTCTGTTTCTTACTGAGTTTATCCGCCAGCCATGAGTCAAGGATACCGTCAGCTACACTGCCGCCATGGGAGCTGCAGAGAGGAGCTGCCATGCGAGTTTGAGCTATGCAAGTTAGCCAGTTTTGAGAACTTGAGTACGGATAGGTCCCAAGGATTTGGGCACATAGCTGAGTTTACTTGTCGTGGGCGTCAGGAGGCTGCTAAGCAGGTGGTGCAGGCTGCTAGCTGCTAGTGCACCTACACGTCGTGTCGCCTTCTTCCAATCTTTGTTTACGTTCGAGTCAAGTCTACAGGCTGAGTCTACAGGTAGTTTCCGGCCATACTCACCGCACATTGTACCTGTGTAATCATGACTAATCATACAACAATCATACTGAAAGACTCAAAGAGAGTAAACCATTCCAGGTTTCTCCTTTATTTTGGCTCTAGCCCCGAACTGCTGTATGTAATGAGCTGTGCAATCAATCGTTGGTCAGTGGGCATCCTCGGGGCTCCTTAGGTGCTTTTGATAAGCAATCCTTTTCTCCCAGTATTCACCATCAAGTCTTTGTATTGCTTGTAGACAATTTGGAATCATGCATACTGAAGAATTGAATATTTGGAAGGGCATCACCAAATGCCTGCTATTGCAATCTGAAAATGATCTTGCGGCTATAGCAATCCCAAATCAGGAGCCAGCGATGGTGCCTTGTGGTGGCATTGCTTCAAGACATGTCCAACAAGCAGATTGAGCCAGATCTGTATCTTGGCATGAGACCTTCAAGACACCTACCGAAGGCCATGGGTGAACCTGACTGAACACCAGTGATTGCCACGAGTCTAAACACGATGGCCACGCCGTCACCATTGAATGAACACCTGAGACGCAACGGGGGGAAGGTTGTGATTGACCAGAAAGTGATGCATGACAGAACCCGGCAAGTTGCAAGACAGAGAGACACCCCCACAGCCTTCTTATATACAGCCTCCTTACAAAAGCTGACAGATGGATTCTGTTCGTGCGCTGCCGAAAGGCACACCAAGGATGTGGTACACCAGTTGTATCAGTGCCTTAGCTAAAGCGCATTGTTGGACTTTGGCGCTGGCTGCACTGGAGCAAGCAAAGCCAGCAGATCTGATGTGCGCCTCAGAGAAACACTTCATGAATGATGATGTACCATTGTTGATGGACTGGTGACACTGGTGCAGTATGGTATACTCACAGAGGACAAGGACTGACTAAGCCACAGCTCAGTGTGAGAAGATCAAGCTGGGTGGTTGGACAAGCGCTTGCTACCACTTAGGTTACAATGCGACGATCAGTGCTTTGGCCGAGGGTCATCAATGGACACGCGCTGATGCATGGCTAAATGGCTAAGTCAACTTAGCTTTGGGCAAGGAGTGTGGCTGAAAGAGAGACATGAAGTAATTACAAATCATTGCAGGAGGGCAGCGCTACGGTCCCTATGGTCTTTGAGGTTTGGAAAAAACGATGCGAAAGGTTTGAACCTTTTGGAAGGCCATCAAAGCGACCACCTCAGATCAGTTGTCGCACAGCATTGCAGTGCTTTTTACCTACTCAGATCAGTTTGCTCGCGGAGTGGAGTATGGAACGGACTCCAGATGTTATCAGTGACTTGCTCGTAAACTTCTGGGAATGGGGGTGAGTTGTGCTTTTGTGAAGATACTCATCAAAATACATTTGGCTGTCTTATTATGCAGCCAGACACATTTTTCCAGCAGATGCGCTTGAGCATTGGATGAGAGCAGGAGTCCTTAGACGGATTTTAGCATGCCTTATGCACATAGACATTGGGGTCTGGGCAATGTTGGTACAAATTTGCCTCAAATGATGGATCCAGGAACCATCGTTTCTTGCGGTTTCTTTCTTAACCGGTCGCTTCCTTGTGAGAAATGAACCCTTTAAACGTTTTGAGGGCACGAGTATGACAGGGTCATGGGCTTCAAGGATCATGTGAAGGGAAAGATGTTTGACTCCCGTGGCGATGGCCCACATTTCGACATGGCGATGGTCTGTTGGAGGCTTCAATTCCGCCATCACCGCTTGCGAGAGGGCCCTGCAGTGGCAGGCAGCGTTGCAACTCTTGGAGGCCGGGGAGGGTCGTTCGTCGGACACCTACGGCGGTAGGACAGTCGTTGTTGGATGGTCGAACGAAGCTCAAGAAACGAAGTCATAATCCTCACGGTGGCCTTCAGAGGAGAAGGGTACAACTGGTACAACCTGCATTGGCTTTCAGATGAAACCTCAATTTGATAGGGGTAAAAAACTCCGTGTTCAACCTCTTTGGCATATCTTCCTGGTTGGGTGTAGGTGGCTATGAGGAAAAGGGGGATTCAGTTTTGGGCAGGAGTGCGGTGACTTCGGCCTCTTAAGCGGCCAAGAAGAGATAAAAAGATACTGCACATCCATGTCCAGCTTGCACCTGCCTAGGTTATTGAACGCGCGATGCCAAGGAAAAAGGATCGATCTGGAGGACACAGCCCCCTCGGATCGGGTCTGATTTCGTCAGATTGCCAGGCGATGGGCGAGGCAGCTCTACAGCCAAACCGGACTTCTTTCAACGCAGTCATCAGCGCCTGTGAGACGAGGTGAAACATGTTTGCGCTTCTTGTGAGGATGATTTTGCATGATGTTGCGGACTAAAGGAGACGCTGACGCTTGAAACCTTATTATGTGTTTTTTCCGGACGCTCGACTCTTTCCGAAGTTCGGGCTGAGCAGTTCCACCCTTGCAAGTGGTTGGCCGCTTCGTCAAGTCACCCAAGTCTGGGAGGTAAAATTCCAAGAGGAACAGCGTGCGGGACGGCCATTCATTCGAGGGTTGATGGGAAGAGTCCCAGACGCAGGATGCCTGTGTGCAGACTGACCAGGATCTGACAAACATGACTCCGTGGCCGCATCGTGCAGGTGGCCCTGGGCACTTGCACTGCTGGCAGAGATGGGGGAACCCGATGTGGTGAGCTTTAGCGCCCTAGCAAGTGTGGAGCTCAGATAAGAGAGCGAAAGCGATTGCGCGAGGGCGGGGGAAGGAGCGAGAATGGAGGGAGAACGGAGTGACTTCAGCGCTTGTGGCTGAAATGCAAATACTTTAAGATCAGAGCAGGTAGATATTGCCGACCTTTCAGTCTTGGAGTTTCCAGCCTGACTTCGGCGGGACCCGAGGCGCCTACGAGAAAGCGTCGCAATGGGCTCGTGCTCTGCTGGTGTTGGAGGATGCGCGCCTTCAAGCGGTTGAACCCAATGAGCGCCTTGCAGTACGAAGGGAGTGGGCCACTGGTGCAGGATCAGTCCCGAGGTAGTTTTTGGGAGAAAGAGAGAGAGAGAGAGAGAGCTTACATTGAATCGATGTTGAGTTCAAGGGATATCAAAATAAACACTCCCTTCCCCCTTTTTAGCTATTCAGCTATTCTATTCTTTCTTCTTAGGTGTTGACTCGGTATCAGGCAGTTGACCCGACTATGTACTGTGTACCGACGGGACGTGAGGGCCAACATGCTGCTGTGGTATGTCTTTTGGTTGCCTACCAGCATAATTATGTACATATATATATATATACATATACATGTATTATACTGTATAAAGATATGTCTCTCTCTCTATATATATTATATCCTATCCCTGCGACTTGTTTGTCAGGAAAAAGACAACAGATGCATTGTGTTAATGCCTTTCCAGCTACTTGTGCACATTGTCCGCCAAAGAAGCTGTTGAGAAGCATTGTCATATTGTAGGAACAAGAAGCTACTAGGAGCAAGGACGCTACTAGTGGCTCCTGGCCTTACTACTGGGAACAAATAGATACTAGGAACAAGAAGCCAGACAACAACATAGAGGTCGCAGTGAACAGGTTTGCAGATTGTTTGAAGCCTAGTCCTCATGTCAAATATGTTTGCTGCTCAGCATGATCCTGCAGAGAAGAAGCGACTGAGCCTGAAGAACTCAGGATTACATACTATTCTGCTGTTTCTGCTTGCTTGCTTCTCGGTTGCATGGTCAAGGCCAAAACTATTGTTCTTCACTCCACCGTTGGCTTAACATTTACAAGTGAGCAGCAATTTATTTAGGAGATATCTGGGTAAAAACTTGGTCAACATTTCGCAGTTGTTCTTGTTCTGACATGGCCATCTATGCAAGGACATCATACTGGACATCGTACATGTTCAGTGGACTTGATGGGGATTTGAGATCCAAGCAATGAATAGTATAGCAATGGTGTTCCACTCCATACTGATCTCTCCCACCGGGCAAGGCATTCCTTGCAGTGGCAAGAGGCATTCAGCTCTTGGGACCAAGCCCTTCACAACGGCTTCGAGGCCGAGCTGAGCAGTGCCACCAGGCGGAGGCTGGTCATGGAGCCTTGGACGAGCCGTTTTCCATCGAACGCTTGGAGGTTGGGTCGAATGTGGGGGAAGCGAATGAAGCCACCCGCCATAGACGGTCAGTGCGAATGAAGGAAGTGATTCCATGGTTTCCATTTCCGCTTCAAATGATTCAAGGATATGTTTTTGGTTTGCCCTGTGAAGCAACAGTCAGAATGTTCACAGAGCGGACCGACTTGGTCAGCATGAGGAAAGCGAGCAACGTGGCTTGTGGCAACGTCAAGCTGACTTGCTACAGGGCTTTGGCAATGCATTTGACAGACATGGTATTGGTTTGGGAACTCAGAGTCTCTTGCAATCTTTCAATCCTTTGGAATAGTTTGAGGATTTCAAGTTGAACCCACATCAACGGCTGCAAAGATAGGTTTGCGTCCATTGTCTTCTCGTGTGTTCATTTGCTTCGACTGCAAAGGTGCCGTCTTGGCTGCCAGTGCTATTGCGTTAGCCCCGCAGGATCTGGCTTCTGTCCTCCGTATCCTTTGTTTGCGCGTATTCGCGCTCGTTTCTGAGTGTTCGTGTGCTGGTGTGACTTTTAGTAGGACAAAAGAGTGAACCTGGGTGGTCAGGGTAAGGGTACCTGGAGACATACAATGATCATCTTATAATGAACTACTGCAGAACTTTCAGTCCCTTCAGATCTGTGGTGCTTTACAGTGGTTTTAGAGTAGATGGCACAATCTCCAAATGGTGCCAGTGCATGTTTGTGCCAGAGTAAAACTGAAACCACTGTGTAGTCGTTTTTGGTGAGAAAACAGGTGGCCTTTCCACTCACGAAAGCGAGCGGCCTCATCCGACCAGTCCAGGAGACCTGCGCGCATCGCTCCATACGCCTTGAAAGCTTGGTTCGCTTGGTGCTGAACGCTGCGAAAAGGGGCTTCGTGGAGGTTCGTGGATGTATGATTCACAGAGAGGAGATGAGAAGAGAGAAAGTGGACCGCTGAGAAGGACTTCGCCTCTGGTAAAATCCATGTTTTGTCTTTTACACTGCTGGTCTGAGCACCCTGTGGCCATTCCCCATGAAATCCTTGGTCGAAGCGACGCGACCAGACGCTTCATCGAGGAGCTGCAGACGGGTGACATCGAGAAGGCCAGAGCTGTCTACGATGCCTGAGACTTGATCTGCGAGGAAATAAGGCAAGGAGAAAAAGAGAGCTCAATCTGCAACCGTTCTGTCGTCTGTTTCTGGAACATCTCCCCGTTCCAATGTGTGTCCGAGGGTAGGCCGGTTGGTGGCTCCAAGTTTGGAACCGATGGAACAGATGGCATCATGTCAGCCCATCGGTTCATTGCACCCACAGCCGGGTGCCAAACGAGTATGAGTAAGCTGAGGCCCTCCTTAAGGTCGTTCCTCACAAGCAGTTCTCCTTTGCCAAGGCAAGGTCAGAGAATTTGGAGGGTTGAGGGGAATGCCATGGAAAATATATGACCAGACAATGTTTTTCTCGACTTAAACTACTACTAAGACCTACTAAGCATGCTGGCAAGGTGACCAACAGCTCCATGCCCCCAATCAGGGTTGCTGCACATTTTGATGGCCGCATGGATGGAGAGCACATGGATGGACTCGAAATCAGGAAGCATGTGGCATATACTCTTCCTTGTACAGACATTTGAGAGATGAAGTGCTTCTGCATTCGCAGATTTGGAAGCTCTATGCAGAGTTCGAGGCACGAATCTCACGTTTGCTTGTTGGTGCAGCTATAGACTAGAGGTGTTGTCAGAGATTTCCTGCTTGTGTGGATGAACATGTTGCATCCGTCAAAGAGATGCGGACACAGAACAAGGCACAATCGTTTTGATCTATTCAAGGACTAGGCATGGCACGATAGTTTTGATCACCAGCCTGTAGCTGCATAGCTTCATTCACCATTGTCATCAAATAGTCCTTTGATTATGAAGTGAATCCTTTCCTTTGGGGGAATCTTGCAACATGTTCTAAAGCTTCTTTTTTGCTTCATACTGCAGCTTTCATAACTTTGCTACGATCGTGGCCTTTTATACTAGAAGCCTCACAAACACCAGAGCAACGTGTATGAAATTCTGGAACAACTCAACAACAAACAACAGCAGTCTGGTTTTCTATCGACAAACCCCCATCTCACAGGGGGTGCGGGTCAACTTGATATTTTACCTTCCGAACGACACGACATAAACATTCCCTCCTCTCCACTGAAACTTCCAGTGGTGTATTCATGGGATCTTTGTTCGGAGGTTCCGTGTTTCGGAAAAAAATAACAAATGTGCGTCTCCCATGCGTCTCCATGCGCGTCTCCGTGCGCATCCGTCGCATCCGTGTTCTTCCCAGGTCAGGCAATTGGAGCTCGACCGGGCAAGGAAAATCTACGGGCGTGCCATCGCTGAGTGCCAGAAGGCGCAATCTGACAGTCCCCATGTTGGGCGGTTTGTGGAGGTGCTATGAAGATGTGGAGCACACAGAAAAAGGCCGCCTGTGACATGTGGAGATCCCCATGACACCGAAACCACCTGAGCTCAACTCGTTTCAACAGATCCCGTCTTCCACGTCCAAACCCTGAGTTGCTCGTTGCGATCGTTGGTTGAGCTCCATGCGAGGAGCGGATTTTCTTAGACTATGCCGACTTAGAGATGCGATTGGGCAACATCGATAGATGTCGCAACTTGCACTGTTTATTGATGCGTGTTTCGGTTCTCAGAATAGCCTGATGCCAGGCCCAGACTTACTTTGGTGATTAATGTCTTAAAGTGTTTGGATACGGCAACGGCGGTCGCACAGCAGCGAGTGCCAAGGTACAATCTATGGCAAGTTCTTGGAGGCCATGAATCTGTGGAGTGACTTTCGCAAGAGGATTCTGGCAGAACAAGCAATTGATTCTAGCAGTGTAATTCTGAGTGGATATTCACAACCAGCTGGCCATTTCTGGCTTGGCATGTGCTGTTGCAGGTGCATCCACACAATCCAAAGGCTTGGACTGTCTACGTTGACCTCGAGGAGATTGCTTCGTGATACTCTTCGGAGGCCAAACCCAAGTGGTGGAAAGCCTTGAAGGTACGGGATCATTCCGGAGAGTGGCGAAGTTCTCTTCAGAGTGGCAGAGTGGAGACCTTTCTGCATCGCTGCATCGGCAGGACTCAGTGGGAGAGATAGAGCGAGCTCGAGCAGCTTGGGCGAAGTTACGAATGAAGTCATCATGTCTCTTCATACTAATTAAATTCTATTTACTTATTGTTTCTATTACTAGCTTCTTGTTACTAGTAGCACGGCCAGGAGCCCCTAGTTGCGTCCTTGCTCCTAGTAGTAAGGCCAGGAGCCCCTAGTAGCGTCTCATTTCCCTTCATAGCAATGAATGCTTTGCATGCTTCCACCTGAGGCTCTTTGCAATCTTGCCATTACTCAGGATAGCCCGCGATTCAGTCTTGCATTATTTGATGTTCTTTTCTTTTTTCTTGGTATACTATTGCACCTCACGAAGCATCGCTTGTGTAGTCTTCTGTCCTTGGCACTGGCTTCAATGAGTGCATCCTGGAATTCCAGGATTCAAGAATTGACCGTTCCTGTTGAAGAATGTCAAGCTCTCTGTTCTTGATTTTGCGAGGTTCATGCTTAGTAAGGCTTTGTAAGGCTTAGTATGCAGTATAGTCTAGTGACAAAAGTCGAAGTACGCACGTAGCATAGACATGCGGGTCGTTTTTCGACTGGTCATTTTGTCAGGAGCGCTTGGACATGCCAGAGCTCGTGTGGAAGCGCTTTATCGACCTCGAGGTGGGTCCTGTAGGCTACGCTAGCACTGCGCTAGCACCACTGGAAGAAAGGTGCAGAAAAGAGATGTCAATCTTGGTTTTGCCGAGCGCTAACGTAGTGGGAAGAAGCACCCCAAGTGTCTTGGTTGTCGATGAATGTGGCTCCTTTCAACGAACGCTGAGCCAAGTGGCTATTTCCAAGGTTATTCAGACGGACTAGAACAGCTTTCGATATCAGTTCTAGTTTTGTCTAGCATGTTGCATAAAAGCAGGACAACTCTTGACGGAAGTTTTCAACCTGTCAAGTCACACAACCTCTCCCATCGCCCAAAACCATCGAAGAACGAGCAGCACAGAACGGCACACGCTTTTTCACGGCCCCACGCGTGCGTGAACGAATGCCACAAACGCCACTCACTCCTCTTTTTTCACGCCCAGAGCGCTCCGCGAGTCGGTTGCCCCCCCATGGATGAGCCTCGCGAGTCGGTGCCGCCCATCGTCCGTGCACGCTTTGGCCTGGAACAGCGCTGCGCCTATCGGCATGCGGATCTCTATGATGAAGAAGTGCCCGAGGCGAAGATGTGAAGAGCCACCCTGTCCGGGAAACAGCGTGGTGCATGACTAGACAGATGTGATGGTCAAGTCAGGGATGGTGATTGGAGTGATAGAATCTGATAGAACAGACTTTTTGGGTGTGGATTTTGCAGAAGACTTCTCTTTGAAGGCGAAAGTTTCACGTGAGGTGAACGTTTCAAAAGAGTTGACACTTTTACCTTTGCCAAAGTGTTGTTCTGATGCGTGGACTGAGCCAGGTGGACCTAGAGACGGTGATTGCTAAACCAGAGCTGGGCGCAGAATGTGCCGTCAAGAACTTTGTTCTGCTGGGAGATCAAAATGCTGGCAAGTCGACGATGTTACACAGCTGCTTCACTTGGATTTACAGCATTTTGATGCATTTGTTTTTGCAGTGAATCTTTGAATCCGAAGCATGGGTGGGCCCCTTGCAATTCCTCACATGTACACAGGGCAAACCACTGCAAGGCAGAAAAAACATCTTTTCCAAGTCCCCAGAAAGACACCTTGGTGCCTTGGTGACCATTTACGGTCTGAGGCTTTTGTCGAAGTGGAGACGCTGGATTCATGCAGCTCTCTTCGCTTCTGCCAATTCTTTCCAGCTCTTTCATCAACACCCGGATGCTGGGACTATGAGGGCAAGAGGTTGAACATGAAGCAGTCTTCAAGACATGACACCCTGACAGTTCCCAAGACTCGAGATCCTACTTTGCCGCTGCCGGAGCAGGAGCAGCAGTAGGAGTAGTAGGAATAGAATAGGAGTAGTAGTGGTAGTATGGTAGTAGTGGTAGTAGTCGTAGTCATAGTCGTAGTCGTAGTCGTAGTAGTAGTAGTAGTAGTAGTAGTAGTAGTAGGAGGAGTAGGAGTAGGAGTAGTAGGAACAGTAGGAGGAGTAGGAGGAGTAGGAGTAGGAGTAGGAGTAGTAGTAGGAGTAGGAGTAGGAGTGGGAGTGGGAGTGGGAGTGGGAGTCGGAGTCGGAGTAGTAGTAGTAGTAGTAATAATATTATTAGTAGTAGTAGTAGTAGTCGCAGTAGTAGTAGTAGTAGTAGTCGTAGTAGTAGTAGTAGCAGGAGTAGTAGTAGTAGTAGTAGTAGTAGTAGTAGTAGTAGTCGCAGTAGGCATATGAGTGAGAGTATGAGTATGAGTAGGAGCAGAGTAGCAGTAGCAGCAGTAGCAAGAGCAGACGTCCATTTCGTACTGTCCAGGATGGTTCCCCACAGCTTGCTGGACGATCCGGACGAGCCATTGAGTGCGATTCGGGATGAGCTTCCCTACATGGACACGGACATTGCTCGTGGTTTGGTGCAATGAAGGCAATGTCAGTACACTCCCGGCTACTAACGAGGCGACGGAAAATTGCAAAGTTTGTCCATTTTAAAGAACATTTCCATTGCCTCGTTAGTGAAGGGTAGTCTTTGTATGTCTTTGTCCTGTTTTGCGACCTTCTCCACCTATCATAAATTGCAGCAAGTACCTGACTGGAAGGTGCATACATTGCGAGACTTCTGGATGTACAAGCTACTGGGATCCAGAGGTTCAGGCACATTGCAAGGTTCCATATTTGTTCACCTCAAGACCGGTCTTCGATTCGAAAAACAGACGACCTAGGACCTATTTGCCCAGATAGCTAGAAGCAGCCTAGGGGTTCTTACTTCTCTTCAAACCAGGAGCCTGTGGTGGAGAATCACCTGTCCCAGGGTCTAACCGTCTCGAAGCCTGTCTCCCAGCTTGTCTCCTATCATAGTTTGGTGGCGCGTCAGCAGTGGCATGGCAACATGCTGACATTCTAAGATGGTGTGATGACATGTTGTCCTCCAGCCGTGGAGTTGTGCTGTTTTTCTGTCCCAAGTCGAAAAATATATATACATATATACGTATGGCATAGCTATTTGTGGAACGGAAGGTGTGCAGTGTGCGTCATGGCCGGGGAAGAGACCTGTCTCTGACCTCAGAGACCTTCCGTTCACTTTCTCTTCCAGCTAAACTGGAACATGAACGGTGAGTGTTCGGTTTTTAGGTCTCAAATTTCATTTCGTGTGAACACCTTCTATATATAATCGCTGGTGAACGTGGTGTTTGTTTGTGCAGAGCACCTCGGGCTTTGAAACTGAGGTGATGCTGACCCTGGAGAACTTTGGTTTCTTTTGTCAAGAGTTTGGCCTTTGGAATCCTGCTGAACCAACTCCAAGCTTTTTGGACTTCGACCCTGAGGCGACATGTTAGTATTGAGTGATTCTAGTGGCAGCTTCTAGTGATTCTAGTGGAGTTTTCATGTTGTTTGAAGGAATCCTAAATGTTCCATCGCATCTTGCTGGAGGTGAAGGGACTAGAGCCATCTCATCTTTTAGCACAAGACCATGTAAAGAGGCGGTAGGCTGAAGTTTCCGTGCAAACAGACAGGCCGAGATTGCAACTTCTTTGAACAATAACAGCAGATGCCTTTAGTATATAGATGTTTTTAATCGCACGGATTTCACATGTTTGTTTTGGACATGTGAGATGTTGGTGGGTCAAACAAAACCTAGGGCTGTGGTTCTTTGTCCTCCCATAGACTACTGACTACTGCATTCTCTCTCTCTCTCTCACCTCGCAGCGACGGCAGGTGCGCTTCGTGGCGTTGCACTTCACGGAGCTGGGCGGGGACCACCTGGATCGGCTGCTGCGCTTTGTGGGAAGCGGTGAAGGGCTGGAAGCACTGAAGAAGACAGAGGACATTGAGGATGAATCCTTCTGGAAAGACATGCATGAGGCGGAAAAACAACGGGGAAAACACGAATCCTGAGAGGTTGCAATGAATAATGTGGATGACTGCCATTCTAGTGATGTGTCTTGAATTTGTTCACTGTGCAATTTTTAGCGACCTTAGCAGCTAATTGGCTGGCTGCTTTTTCAGCGCTGCGCCTGAGGTGCTCTTGGGGTCACTGCGCCTGTTGAGGGACACCTCCTGCCGCTGTGCCTTCTTCATCAACTGCACCAGCCTCTTCTGCGAAGGCACGTTGCAGAGGAAGGCACTACGGCCGACGCTGAGGAAACTAAAGTTCTTGGACGAAGTGCTGGGTGCCTCGCTGCTATTTGAGATCAAAACATCAAAGACCGAAAACAGCACCACTTAGAAGAGCCATGGTGCTTCTTGGCCCCAGCGAGAACATGGGCATCGTAGAGATTCAACACCTGCTAAAGCGACATTCTTTCAGGGTTCTCAAAATCCGTGTTTTGTAGCTCTAGGGGCAAGGACGTTACTAGGGGCTCCTGGCATCGCCACTAGGGGCAAGGACGCTACGAACGGGGCTCCTGGCCTTACTCCTAGGAGCGATCGGGCGCTACTAGCTCACTTAGGTAGCGGAGAAATCTTGTAGGAACAGTCTCGCTTGACTTTCGATCTCCGGGCACTTGCGGGTTCACTCGAACAACACCGAGCGCCGAGTTCGGTCTGATTTTGGGATGGATCGCTGCGTTGGAACCTTCTCCGAATGGGGTTGAGGCAGATCCTCTTCCAAGAACTGAGATGCTGAAATGGGGGAGACTTCAGTGCTTCAAGAGAACTGAGGTGGAAAGGAGATCCTTTTCTATTGTGCTCGCACCGATGGTGTGCCTGTTACTATGTTTGATCCCCAGCGAGCCTGGGATGAAGCCCTCAAGGAGCTTGCAGCCTTCGCAGCAGAAGAATGTGCCTCGTCTCAGGTTGATTGGCTTCCTAAAACGAGGTGAATGACTTACTCATAGATGGCCCTGGAGCACGCTGAGCACACCCATCATTTGATTTGTGAAGAAAAGTAGAACGATGCGTGGTACATGCAAGTTGAACAGCGACTTTTGCAGAGTTTAAGGTACAAAGGCCGCACCAAGAAAGAAACTCACGTCTTGGTCCCTGTTCAAATCCTTCTAGCATAGACGGGCACAACCCAGCACCTGAAGGCGGCCGACCAGAGCTGCCGTTGATGGACATCATGCCGGACAGCGCGCTGCATTGGCAACCGGACACAGCATTGGATGAATCTGCATTGAAAGAAGTGGTGGGAGAGGTCCCTGAAGAAGGAGAGAGTGCACCACTTTTGGCGCAGCTTGGAAGCCTATCAACATTTACATAGAAAACCGTATACCTATATAAACATATATATGTATATACATACCTTTGTATGTATAATGATTTTACTTTCCTTTCCTATTCAGGTGACCAGCAAACCAAAAGGCCTTTCATACAGATCAAACTTCTGTCAAAGCAGACTGGTGCAACCTGGCACCGTCTCCAGTCTCTAGTCTTTAGTTTGGTGTTTGACACCATTTCCAATGCCCGTCTCTATCTCAGGTGGCTTCGCGCCTTTCTTTTGTGCATGTTGCGAAGCCTTGGATTCCGTCTTCAACTGGTGGCACTGGCTCCAGTGAGGAATTACCAGGCGAGCCGGGGCCGGCAGCTCTGTGCGGCGAGCGTTGTCCGGAATGTTGCAACCTTGCTGCAGTGTCTCGGATTTCATTCAGTCTTGGTTTTTGTTTTTTTGGGGGTCCGTGTCGGATCAAATGATTGGATGATTGCAGATGCGGACCCCAGAGGCAAATCTAATTATCGTAAATATGAATATATATATATATATATGTGTGTTTGTATGTACAGCCCATATATACTCCGCTAGGGTACTGCAGACACGTGACTCATGACGTGTTTTGGCTCAAGGGAGAAAAGGCGTTCCGAAACGTCGAAACTCTGTTTTCATGGTAGCGCGTGAGCCCGGTGAAAGCGAAAGGGACCAAGCGCTGCGCATCAAGGAGGAGAGACATAGTAAGGTAGAGACCTCCGAGGAGGAGGATCAGGAAATCCCGGGAGCGGCCGATTCGGCCGCCCCGAGTGGAAAGGAAGAAAAGGAGGAGGAGCCTTTGCCAGCCACATCAGCGGCGGAACCAGCCGCGAACACCACTCCGGCGGTTGTAGAAACTGCCGAAACAACATCAGCGGTTGAAGGAACCGCGGAAACAAAAGAAGAAGAGACCACAAAAGAGACAGAAGGAGGAGAAGAAGAGAAGCCTGAACAAGACCCCACAGTAGAGCCAGAGGCTGAAGCGGCTGATCCAGCCGCACAGCCTTCGTCTGGCCGAGTGATCGCCGACTTCATCACATCCCCAGAAGGTGTCAAAACAGGTTGGAAGGTCCGTGGCATTCACACCAAATATACTGAAGCCAAGGTTGATCCCAAAGCGCCTTGGAGGGTGAAGAAGAATATTTGGGGACAGGTCAAGAAGCATCCAGAGCCACAGTCCGGATTCCGACTTCGAAGCAAGACTTCGCTTCAGTACCGGAGGCTCAAGGACCTGGTCAGGTTGCAGAAGAAGAAGGGTGTCATCACAGAAGATCTGAGGAGGCGCATCAAAGAGTTCGGAAAAGGGCGCACTCCACAAGAGATCAAAGAAGAGCGGGAAGAGCAAAAGGTCCGCAATCAAGAGAAGCGGACCAAGAAAAGGAAGACCTCAGAAGCGGCTGGTTCAGCCGAGGAGGAGGAGGTCGAAGAAGAAGAGTCGGTGAGCCAACCAAGTCCGGTTCGACAGCCTCGAACACCGGACGGGCCACCGCCGGCTAAGCGACCGCAAACCCGCGACACCGAGCGGGGACGGGCGGTCTGGGGACGTGCACTGGAGTTGAACCTCCGCATCGTCGCCCTAGCCAACGAACGGGCCCAGCGATTGACGATAGAAAATTGGAAATTAGAGAGCCCGTTCCAAGTGCGAAAGCTTGCGGCCGACGAACTTTGTGAGCAACGAAACCTCAAGGGCACCGTTGCATTGGCCGCCATTCGCGAACTTTGGAAGACCCCCAACGACCAGGGAAAGAGAGGATCCAACGAGGCTTGTAGTTCTTGTGACGAACGACGGCAGGCACAGTTGCCCGTGGTTCAGGACTACATCAAGCGGCGTGGTCTTAAGGGACCTGCCCGCCTCGGATCCACCGCCAAGACAAAGGCGGCGCCAAAAGTGAGCCTGACACCTGGGCCGAAAGAGAAGGCCAAATCGAAGGCCGGACCAAAAGGGAAGGTCAAACCATCCGCCGCACCAAAAGTAGCGGCTAAAGCGAAGGCCACAACTGTGGGTCGTCGCCCGGAAGAACTCACACGGACTACTGTTGAAGTCCGTGGAGTGCCAAAACCTTCCGATCCTTGACCGGGCGAACCGCCCGCGACTGCCGCTGGAAAAGGAGCGAGCGGCAGCAGCAGCAGGGTTGAGAGTAGGAAACCATGGAACAGCAGGTCCAACAGCTGAGGGATATGGTACTTCAACTCCAACAGAACCAAACGAGGTTGGAGCAAGAGAATCAAGTGTTGAGGGAGTCTCAAGGCGGGGTGACAATGCTAGCCTCAGCCGTAGGAGAATTGGCTAAAAGCCTTGAGAAGAAAGAAGATAGGAGGAAGTCCCAAATCCTTATGGACACCAAAGGGTTGGGACGCCCTGAGAGTTTTGGGAATGTTGAAGGGGATTTTCGAAAATGGGCCAGGAGCATTGATAACCTGTTCATAACTACTTTTGGGAGAGAGTTCATTGAAGTCCTGGAGTATATTTTGGAGCAGGAAGACGCGATTGAATTGAGTGCTATGGAGTCCGCTTTTGGGACTGGAACCATAGCAGCTATCGATGATCTGGAGGATAAAGCTGATCAAATTCATCGCTTGCTCCTCACCCTAACCTCAGGTGAAACAGAAGATTTGATGGTAGGAGCTTCAAATGGGTTTGAAGCATATCGGCGAGTTCACCGCCGTTGGGATCCCCGAACCTCGGGACGGAAACGCAATATACTTCGAGCGATTCTCCAACCGGAGAGAGTCAAGACATGGGCCGCGGTGAGGCCAGCGATCGAACAGCTCGAAGAGCTCATCAGGCGGTACGAGTCTCGGAGGAGTGCCGCAGGGACCAGGGAGACCCTATCGGACGACATCAAGTCCGCTTCATTGGAGACGCTGGTACCCCCAGATTTGGAGAAACATCTTTTGTTGAACAAGAGTAGATTGACAACCTACTCATTGATCAAACAGGAGATTGAACTTGTCATTGAATCATCTCTCACATCAAAGTCATCTGTTCCAAAACCAGGTTCATCAAGCTCCAACTACCAAGGACCACAACCAATGGATGTCGATTCGATCGGACAATGGATCGCAAGCCTGGTCAAAGGAAAAGGTAAAGGAAAAGGTAAGCAGGCCAAAGGTGATGGAAAGAAAGGCTCAAGCAAAGGGGGCTCAAGTAAAGGCTCAAACCCGGCTCAAGATATTACCTTCTACAATTGCGGTAAGAAGGGACACCGAGCGGCCGATTGCTGGAGCAAGAAACGGCCGGATGGAAAAGGCGATAAGTGGTCAGGTTCAGGCAAAGGAGACAAGAGTGGTAAAGGTGGCAAAGGCAATAAAGGCAAAGGTGGGGTGGACGAAGCGGCAAAGGTAAAGCCGCAGGAAGTATGGAAGAGATGGACGATCCGGATGATGGCGTTGAGCCAGCTCCGGAGGCTGATGTCGGAATGCTCATGGCAGACTTGAGTGGAATTGGAATGGCGGACACCTCATCCGCCGAAGAATGGATGAAGTTTAACCTGGACACTGGAGCAGCCCAGACAGCCATCCCGAATGGCTGGGAGGACCGAGTGGTTGTCAGTGAAGGCAACGGAGTTGTATTCAAGACTGCATCAGAAGAGTTGGTGCCCAGTCAGGGCATTGGAACCTTTGAAGGGTTCGAGGAGAGCGGCAACAAATGCCGAGTGAAAGGTTCAATGGCCGATGTTCACAAGCCATTGATTTCAGCATCCAAGTGCTTAGGCTTTGGAAGGATTGCAGTTCTTGATGCAAATGGCGGAAACTTGATTCCGCAAGGGTCCAAAGTTGGAAAGGCTGTCCAGGCGATCCTGGAGAAAGCGAACGCCGCAGAGCAGCGGAGTTGGATCCCTGTGTATCAGGAGCAGGGAGTGTACAACTTCTACTTGAGAAAGCCAGGGTATAAACCGACAAAGGAATGCTGTGGCATCGCAGAGTTGAACGCCGCAGGAGAAAGAGGAGATGCCTCTATGGATTCAGGCCGACCTGGTCCAGAGGGGCGAGAAGAGGATGATGAGTTGGAATTAGTTGATGAGGTTGAGAAACCCATCCAGATAAGAGCGCCGGAGGACCCAACTCCGGCTGAGATCGAAGAGCGCGAGGCGACAGGCCATGTGCAGTATCGAAGTTGGTGCCGGCATTGCATTGCTGGACGGGCTGTGGGACAGCCGCATCGGACAAGGTCCGAGGAACAGAAGGCAAAGAGCCTTATGCCCACAGTGGCAATGGACTATACGTTCATGTCACGGGGTGGTGTGGAGGACGAGCGAGTGAAGCCGATCCTCGTAGTGAAGGATGAGAGGACACAGTCCTTAGCGGCGACCTTCGTGGACTCGAAGGGAGCGACGCCGTATGCAGTGAAGTTCGTGGCGAACTTCTTGAAGAACTTGGGACACCGCAAGGTGGTTCTCAAGCCGGATGGTGAGCCATCCGTGGTAGCCTTGAAAGAGGCAGCGGCGAAAGAAACCGGCGCAGACTGGGTTTCGGAAGAGGCGCCAGTAGGAGACCATCAGGCGAATGGTCTGGCAGAGAACGCCTGCAAGGAGATCAAGCGTCAAGTACGAGTTCTCCGCAGCGCGTTGGAAGAGAAGCTCGGCAAAGAGCTTAAAGATGATGATCCTGCATTGGCATGGCTGCCAAGACAGGCGGGAGACCTGTTGAGCAGGTACAAGAAAGGTCAAGATGGCAGAACGCCTGAGGCCAGAAGATGTGGAAAGCAATGGCGAAAACCTGCCATAGCTTTTGGTGAACGCCTATACTTTAGAGAAGTAGGCGAGGGAGTTCGTATCCTGAAAGAAGGACGCTATGTAGGGCACCACGGCCGAACAGGATCCATTTTAGTGATGACGGCCGATGGCGTGCGCAGAGGCACAGGAATCCGGCGGCTGAGTTCAGCCGACCGCTGGGACCCAAGTGATTGGGACCTTTTGCGGGGCTTACCGTGGGAGCACTCCGCGGCAAGGCCTGCCGGTGAGTTGATGCTCGAAGAGCGCCTTGTGGTACCACCTCCCAAGGAGGAACGAGTGGCACCACCACAGCAGAGGCGAGTGTACATCAGGAGAGAGGATGTGCACAAGCATGGAGCCACAGAAGGCTGCCCAGGATGCAGGTGCATCTTGGAAGACAAGAGGACGACCTTGCCGCGCACAGAGGCGTGCAGAGCAAGGAAAAGGATGAAGCTGGGCAAGCGAGACTTGAAGCCCATGCAAAGAAGAGGAAAGAACGGCAACAGCTTGACACTGTAAAGCCGAAAGTCGTGGCCGGCAAGGACACTGACATCACGGCCGAAGACGCGGCCGGAGAACCAGAGAAGAAAGAAGAAGCAAAGAGCGCAGGGTCGGGAAGCCCGCCGCCAACAGCGGCAGAGGGTGAGAAGACCTATATCCCGATGACCCGAAAGAGAGATATGAGATGAAGAGGCAAGCAGCCGAGATAGAGAAGAAACCAGTGGCGAAAGCCAAGGTAGCGACAGAGCCCAAGAAGAGAACAGGAGAACTTAGGATAGATCCACCTGGGGCAAAGGTCAAGCCGAATCCAGCTCAAGGAACAAAGAGGTCGGCAGAGACCGCCGTAGAAGACCTTGATCCCAGAGTGGAAGAGAGTCCAAAGAAAACTGAGACGTTTTCGTATGTCAGGGTGGAAGCCAGATGCAGCAAACTTGGTAAAAGAGAAGGAGATCGCAAAGCAGCATCTGAAGAAGATCATTCAAGGAACCTATGAGGCAAATGACATCGAGATCTCTGAGCAAGAGATCGGAGACATCGCTCATTTGAGCATGCAGATGTCAGCAGTAGATATCATGGAGATCTACTCGCCCAAGAGGTTCACTGCGCTTGCAGAGCGCTACAAGTTGCGACCAGGTTTTGCGGTCGACTTGAATGAAATGAAAAGCGATGGAACATACTGGGACTTGAACAAGTCCGAAGATGTTCAAGAAGTGCACGACATCCTTGAGAAGGACGAACCGGCGCTTTTGACTGGTTCGCCACCGTGCCATATGTTCTCGCAGCTCCAGAACCTCAACTGGAGAAGCATGGCGCCGGATGTCCGGAGGAGGAAAATGGACGAAGCCGTTCACCATCTTCATACGAGCGTAGAGCTGTATGTCAAGCAGCATCGCTCAGGAAGAAAATTCCTCCACGAGGCACCTTGGTCCGCAACTAGTTGGAAGGATGAGAAAGTTGCAGCCTTAGCAAAGGAAGATGGAGTGTTCATAGTGAAGGGTCCAATGTGCAGGTGGCAAATGATGGCCACTGACCGAAGAGGACTCCAAGGCACCGGCTATGTGAGAAAGGAGACCGGTTGGATGACCAACGATGAAGGGTTGGCCAGAGTCTTGCAAGGAGTCTGCTCGAATGAATCGGGCAAAGGACCATGGCACCGACACATCCATCTGATCGGAGGCATTGCAAGGCAGGCAGCGGTATACCCACCGCAGCTCGTGAAAGCAGTGCAGAGGAGCCTGCGTGACACGTTAGCCGAGAAAGGTGAGTTGAACACCTTTGATTTGTTTGCAGCAGGCCCAGTTCCACAGATGCCTCTGATGGACCCAGAGTTCGAAGAAGTCTACATGGATGATGTGAACGGCGGCATTTTGCCAGCCGAGAAAGTGAAAGAGGCAAGACGCCTTGAGATGGATTATTTGAAAGAAAAGCATGGTGTTTATGTGCCCCGGCCGAGAGCCGAATGTTTTGAGGAAACGGGGAAGCCCCCGATTCCAGTCAGATGGTTGGACACCAACAAGGGAAATCCAACAAACCCGAACTATAGGAGCCGATTAGTTGTGCGTGAGATAAAGGCAAGAAAGACCAAAGAAGAACAATTGCCAGCCAACTTGCTTTTCAGCAGCACGCCCCCATTGGAGGCGATGAGACTGCTGTGCTCGTTGTGGGCAACAAAGAGAAAGTCCTGCCACAACCAGCCGCTGAAGCTGGGCCTGTGGGACATCTCACGAGCACACTTTTATGGAACTCCGAAGAGAAAGATCTACATAGAGCTGCCGCCTGAGGACGAAGCCAGCAAAGATGGGCAAACCTGTGGACTTCTTGTGAAGTCGATGTATGGAACACAGGACGCTCCAAATATCTGGCAGACGCACTACACAGAGACTCTGCAGAAGGCTGGTTTCCGCAGAGGCTTGTCAAATGCGTCAGTCTTCTACCAAGAAGCTTGGGACGTCAGAGTGATGGTGCATGGAGATGACTTCCTAGCGCTTGGAGACGCCCAACACTTGGAGAAGCTCAGCCAAGTCCTCAAAGATGCCTATGAGCTGAAATGTCTCGGAATTCTTGGAGACGAGGATGGAGACCGAACAGAAGCTCATTTTCTGAATCGGTTAATCCGAGTTGATAAGAAGAACGGCAAAGGATCAATTGTGATCGAAGCCGATCGGAGACATGTTGATCTTTTGATCCAGGCATTTGGTCTGGAGAAGGCAAATGGTGTAGAATCACCAGATGTCAAGAAGTCGGCAGATCAGCAGATGCTGGAAAGCCGCAGTCCGCTGCTTGATAAGAGCGAGGCATCGAAGTATCGTTCAGCTACGATGCGTGCTGCATATTTGTCCCAAGATCGACTCGATATTGGACACGCAGTCAAGAACCTTGCTCGAGGTATGGTATCACCAACAGAAGCCAAACTTGCTGACTTGAAGCGTCTCATCAGGTACTTGAAGAAATACCCTGATGTTGGCAATGTTTTGGCTCGCAACAGACACCCTCAAGGCTGAGGGTGCAGGTCGATGCCGACCATGGTGGTGACGCTGTGACGCGCAAAAGCACGACTGGCATGTTGCAATGTACGGCATGCGCGCGTTGAAACACAGTAGTAACATCCAATCCACTGTAGCCCTTTCTACAGGTGAGAGTGAATACTACGCACTTGTGAAGGGAGGATCTGTGGGCTTAGGCCTCCAAAGCCTATGCGCAGACCTTGGTTTGGATTTGGGAGTCACCATCGAAGGCGATTCCAATACAGCCAAAGGAACTGTGAAAAGAGTGGGTTTGGGTAAAGCCAGACACATCCAGACTCGCTACCTATGGTTGCAAGAAAGGGTCGCCGAGGGCCACTTGAAAGTGCACCACGTTCCAGGTCTCAAGAACAAAGCCGATGTTTTGACCAAATCGGTTCCTGGGGTGCAGCTTCGCAAAACTATGGAGGATCTGCAATATGCATTTCTCAGCAAGCGAAGCAAAGGACAGTTAGATGTTTTGGAGTAAGGTCCCTGGCCAAGCTCCACTACCACAACTGAAAGTGGCTAAGCAGCGAAGAGTTTCACATGTTTACTTTTAAGCTTGCGCAGCAGTACAGTGCTTTGCAAGAGGAGGAGTGTTTGTATGTACAGCCCATATATACTCCGCTAGGTTACTGCAGACACGTGACTCATGACGTGTTTTGGCTCAAGGGAGAAAAGGCGTTCCGAAACGTCGAAACTCTGTTTTCAGTATGTATGTATGTTCTGTTCTGTTCTGTTCTGTTCTGTTCTGGTCTGGTCTGGTCTGGTCTGGTCTGGTCTGGTCTGGTC